TGGCATTAATAGAGCAAATTCTTTTGTCATGAACAATTCTCTTATTGGTGTGGTGTTACTTTGTTGTAGGGATGTAAAGCTAAAATATAGGAGCTTGAAGGAGAAAATGAAAGATTATAACAACAAGTTTGCCAAATTTTATGATAATATGTTCGCTAAGTGAAGAGGTTCAAATCTGCTGCAGAGTCCAATGTAAGTCGCACTTTCCATTTAACTTGTTTGGTTATTTTAGTTATTAAATTAATTATATTTGCATTCCACGTGCCTATCAATAATTGTTGAAATCTGAAGGCCAAAAATTTCAGGAAATCGAAACCATGAGCGTGTCTACGTGCAGTGCTGCTTGACCTTTATATCAAATACTTTACAACCATTTTACTTCAAATTAGAATTGCTTGGTTTTAGAAGAATGTATGGATCAATAAATTAGAGAAGCTTGAAATATTATGTGATTTTTTATTCAATTATAATTTATGTATGCACCATATAAGAAAGTGCTTTTCTGATTTAGCTTTAAAAAATGATAAAGTCTCAAATCTGAATCAAAATATAAAAATAATTATTGAAATAATATGGTCAAAAGAATTTAATGAAATAAATTTGGTGAAGATATATAGATAAACATATGGTCAAAGAAATTTTAAATCTCTTGAATCTATTTTATAATGAGAGTAATAAAAAGACTCGGCAATTATTCATGAATTAGATCACATTTATCTTGAATAATAGATTGATAATTAATATATAATTCATGTAATATGTATATATATGATTTCATGCTCCCTTTTGGTTGCAAATGAGAAATTGAGTTGGTGTGGATAGATTTTGATCTTCTTAGTGAAAAAATAAAGCAAAAAATTCCATCATTTAGAACCTGAAGATCAGGATTTAAAATTGATAGCAATACAACCAAAAAATATTTAGGTGTCGAGTTTGCCAATATAGAATACAAGAAATTCCATGGCTCTGGTCTGCTAATTTTTGTCATTAAAATGGCCTTTGTTTCTTATAATAATAAAAAACATAAAAGGGTGAATATTTGCTTGATTGATTTCATACTAATACAAATCTACATATATAAAGGAAAGTAAAAAACAATAGAGGAAATATAATAAAATAAAATATTCTCAATAATGAAAATTTATTGTATGAATAAATACTATATATTCTAGTTATAAATGTTATATGGCAACAACTAATTCCAATAACTCTATTTGGTTAGAGGAATTTGAATTTTATGAGTGTTTTAAATATATTTTAAATTAAAATCATATATTTAAAAAAAAATTTAGACTTTCTAGTTTCTTATAAAGAAGTTTATGAGCTTATTAATTTTTTCCCTATTTGGTTATTTACCAAATAGAACTAATATTTGAAATACAAAAATGACAATGATAATGGTTACAGTGGTGGCTTGACGATGGTGATGGTGATAACTGCAATGGTCAATTTTGATGATAACAGTGACGACAGTGACTATTAACGATATTAGATGTGGTATTTGGCCATGATTGCCGATAAAGCTTCACATTTTAATATATTTAGAATTCACCAAATCATGCAAATTCTAAATATATTGAAATGATCAAATAGAGAAATTTCAAATATCTGAAAAGATTATTATACATTTAAGATATCTCGATATTTTAAGGGGATTTACATACATATCACCTAAAATATTAGTAGTTACATATTTAGCCTAAAAAAATAAAATAAATATTTAGCCTATATATATATATATATATATATATATATATTACCATTTCTATCACTTCATCACTCAATATCGATTCTATTACCTTTAACACTATTGCTTCTGTTATCCTTTATGTGTTGATGGTTGCCTTCATATCATCCTAATTCACACACAAGTTGTACTTACCATCCGAAAATCAAGGAAATCACATGGGATCTCCTAGGTGATGATATAGATTGGCCTAATGATTGATTGTGAGATCTAGTGAGTTGCAATAATGATTGCAAGATCGTTGGGGCCTAGTGATGACGAGAGTAGATGAGTTACAACAATGATTGTGAAATTATAAACAAGAGAATCACTGGGAGTAAACATTGATAGGTGTTCGACAAGACATCACGGATGAAGGCATCAATAGGAGAGGGTATCGTGACTAGCAACGATGACATATAACAAATTTGTTCATGAAGTTAATGAAGTGCTAATTGATATAAAGAATAAAATTTAGATGTTAATCGTATAAATACAAATGTTTTAGGTGTTACGTATGTAAATACTCCTATTTTTTAATAACATCAATATATGACATCACAATAATCTAACATATATAATAAAAGAAAGAATATTTGGTAAAATCCATCGTGAAGTATATTAATGACAAAAATATGTAATGAATGAGAACGATTTAGATGAATTAATCATTTAGAACCTATAAAATGAAATCAAAACTATTAGATAGTAAACATTTAAGGATAAATTAGGTGTTGATTAAATACTATTAAGAATTGTTAATATTTAATTTCTATCTGATTATTGTAGTTCTTGCGATGAATTTGCTCTCATGCATTAAAGTTGGGTCCCTTCATAGATTCCACATTTTTTTGCCATTTAGGGAGGCTTTTTATGGCTCATCAACAACCTCCTTATCAATATCATATTTGAAATAATTTTTTGCCCCTGTCAGAAAGCATGCTTAATATTATGTGAGTAGAAATCAAAGTTCTCCAACATATTTATTAAATCAAATAAATGATGGTGTAAATATGAGCTAGTCCTGAACATGCTGTGATTACTTGTATTGAATTTATAATTTTAATATTAAATAAAATTATCACACAAATAAGATAATTATAAATCATAGTAGCATAACATTTTCTATGTGAAAAAACTTAAAAAGACAAAAAATTATAGGTTCTAATCCTGTTAGAATGATTCCACTAATATGAGTTGTATAATTCAAATGAAGCGATTCCTCATAACTATAGAAGGCTTTGGTATTATATGGTAGGCATGACTTGTGGAATATGGCTTCCATGATGAATATAATATGAGTCTTAAAGCGTCATAATTGTCAACAAGAAATAAGTAGTGGTTCACTTAAATATTTTTCTTATAGATGTGGAGATTCACAACTGTACTAATGGTGCCTGCCTTTGTGGCGATAACAAACATGGAGCTTATTCATGACAATTGGCATTAGCCATTAGGGTTATTGACTGATGGTGGATGTAAGCTTGACGGTAACAAGATGCAATACTATTGGCATCGAAGGCAGGTGTTGACAATAAGTCAATAACTAAGATGGGTGGCAAGGTTATTGTCTAGTATTGGCATTAACCTATCATGGTAATGACAAACGTTGGCCTTGGTTGCAATAAAGGTGTTATTAATGGCTACGATAGATTGTGGGGCATGTTAGTTATGATGAGCATTAAGGCTATTAACAAAGACGGGCATCAACCGTAGTGGCAATGACAAACATCATTGTTCATGTTAATGATGGGTGTCAACTTTACTAGTAATGATATTGTCAGGATTGTTGTCATTGATAAGGGATGATCTTGTTAACAACAATGAGAGCTGGTACTAGCGAATATTTCATTTCGATATTAGTGTTAAAAAGTATGGTCTTGTTGGCAATGGTGATATTACCCTCATTAGTGAGGACATATACTAGTATTGGTGCTAATGACATCTTGGATAATCATTGAACACGGTGTATAATAATCTTATTGGTGATGCCTGCCTTGATAAACATAACTCTTTGATTATCTTCACTGGAATTATTTTAGCCTCATCGTGCCACCCTGGCATGTCTTGAAATAAATCTTATTTATATATCTTTATAGCAGACATTTTTTTATGACTTAACCAAAGTTTAAGGCACTCAATCCGACAACCTTTTTGATCCTTGGTAGTGTCCTACACCTATTATTTTTTTTAGTATGTTTATAACATTGAAATTGAGTTAGCTTAAATTTTATAAATTTATCTCATCAAGAAACTCATTTTTCTAAAATCATATATGCTTCAAAAATTATTTGACCTCTTAATGATCTCATAAAATTTCTAATTTTATTTTTGAGTGTTTGATTTACACATGTTTTACTTTAAATAAAAATATCATTGATATCATTAGATTCATCCCATTGAAACACTTATTTAAATGATTCGACAATTAATTTTAAATTCTTTTTTGCTAAAATAGTAAGCAATTTAAAGTTCTAGAATTGCATCTACGTTCATAATTAATTAAATGAATTTATAACGACATTAATAAGTCAATTCAATAATCACAGTTAATTTAGTGCTATAAAAATAAGATGACGTAACGTAAGAGTTAAGACAACATACTAATAATGTAAAATTAAGAAAATATCGATAAATAATACATTTATGATGCCAAACAATACCCACCTTTAGAATTATCACTAACGGCGTGAAACGAAATTACTCTTTCAACAATCAACTGAAGTAAAACGTTGTGACGTAGCTCATCTATGAGGTTTGGGGTGGTTGGTAGGCGAGCACAGTTGAGATCCTTCATTTCGGGTTCGAATCCTACTATTACGACCTCACATTTTCAATGAGGCAAAGCAAGTGTGGGCTCGATGCTGGTGGGTGGCCTCGTTAGATTCTGCTGAGGAATTAGTTACGCCACGAAATGCTCCTTCATAGTGTCAGCGGGTAGACATCCAGTTCTTTTAAAAAAAAGGAAAATTTACATACACCCCATCATATACTATTCTATTTACATATTTAACATTTAAAATTTTAATAATTCATATTTATCAACCATAATTCATTTTTATATCAAATATGATAGAAATGAAATATATGAGTGACATATTTGATATTAAAATAATATATAATTGTATATATTTAATATTAATATTTTAAGTGTTAGATATATAAATATGATAATATAAATGCTAAAATGGTATGTTGGTGTCTTAAAAAATTTGTTTATGTTGGTGTCTTAAAAAGGTTGTTTTTCTCTAAAATCATTTAAAAAATTAGAAAAAAATAAAAATAGAACATTGTGATTAAGCTTGAGCGTCAAATATATAACAGCATAAACGGACCACTTATGTATTTACACGTGTCCAACAAATCTAAATATTTCAGTGACTGGACTCCAAATTCAAAGTAAATCGTTGAAATTAAGGAAAAGAAAGAGCGATCGACCGACTCCTGATCACTTGACACGATCATAACCGTCATCACAATGCTCGCCAGCAGCGAAATGAACGGTCTAGATCTTGTCAAGCTTCTTGGCCTTGATTAGAGGATTGCAGCGGGCGATGGCGTCGCGGCCGGCCGACTTGAAATCGAAGCAGCACGCGTGCTGCTCCGGGTACCGGTGGGCCCCACAGTACGTCGACCCGCACCGACACTTGAACCGAATAAGCCCCACTTTTTTCTGGCAAGCCGAGCACCGCATCGGCCCTTCCGCCTCCCCCGCCACCTCCATCGCCGACTCCGGCGCGGCCACGGCGGCGTCGGAGGACGGAGATGATGACCAAAAGGCCGACTCCGAGGAAGAGGAGGAGGCAGCGATGATGGATTTCTCGACGGCGAGTAGAGCCTCCTGGGCCTTGATATGGTCACCGTAGCACTTAGAGCAGAGATTGAGAGTAGCCGAGCTCCCGAAGAAGCCGCAGTTGTTAGCACACCGCAGCCCTTCCTGGCATCTCTGTCCCTCAGGACATGGCTGCTCTTCGGCCATCTTTTCGAGATTACTTGAACTCAGCCTGATAAATTAGAAAAGGACAGATTGAATTGACGATCTGTTCGTAAAGAGAAATAATATGAAGGAAACTTCGAATCGATTAGAGATCTTACAAAGTGAAGACTGAAGAGCAATTAGCGCGCGTTGGGACTACTGAGAAAGGTTTGGATATCCGAGAGAGAAGTGGATTCGGCTCTCCACAATAACTTGAAGCAAAGGAAGGCAGAGCGTTAGGCCTGGTTCCGATCTGGAAAATAAGTTCTCCAGCCTGGAAAGAGAAGAGGGGGGTAGCAGGAAGTTTAATAAGGATAAGTTTTACAGCTGTAGCCGTCGTTCTGTTTTCATATTTGATGGAAGAAGAAATTATACTAAGTCGGACGTTTTAATTAAACATTTTTTTTTTGGGATTTACATTCATATCTCTTTATTCCTTGTTATTTACATATCTAATATTTAAAATATTAATATTATATACTTAACACTCATTAAATAAATTTGGATGCATGAAATAAAATATTAAAGTTTATAGGATGCTATGAATGATAGAAATGAATTATAGAAGTTGTATATTTGATATTAAAGTTTTATATGGATGGTAGTTATGTAATATTAATATTCTGGATGTTAAATATGTAAATAACATGAAATAAAATGGTATCTATATAAATCTCCGTTGTTTTTTTGGTAACAATAACAACGATATCAGAACCCTTATTCCACTACGCTAGGCTTAGTTTTATGTATTTTTTCTCTATTTAATTCTATTAAGAATTAAATTCTCATTTTAAATTAATAAATAAAGATTTTTTAATTAAGTCTTTTTAAGTCTATATGTGCCTTTTTTAACATAGGTCAATTTTAATAATCTACGTACTCTTCTAATTAAGTCATCGGAAGTCTAACATTATACATGAAAATTTTGAAAAAGAAAAAAAAAATCATGGAACTGATTTAGATGAAATATCCACTATATAACTAAAATTACATAGATTTGCTATTCCCTCTGTTAGGGAATACAATATTATTAAATAATGAACATGAGCTTAGTCTTATATAATTATAGTAAAGCTTGCTAGAAAATAAGCGAAGCGAAGATGATGACAATTAGATGATGTTAGTTGGGAAATAATTGTCACATGATAATAATTGGGCAATGATAGTTGGATGAATGTTTGGGTGTGGTCAGGTGATAACTGTTGGACAACAGATATCAATGACAGCATACAACAGTGTTCAGACAATGATAATCAAGCTACAAATGCTAGAGGATGATAATTGTATAATGGTGGTGGCTGACGGTGTTTGTTGGCAAAGTATTAGGTAATTCAAAAGATTTTTTTTTTCATTTATTTGCTTAAATGAAAAGTACTTATATATTAATTTTTTCTAAAATTACCAATTAATCATAATAAGAAAAAAATATCAAAGGTCATTATTCTATTTGAATAATTAAAATGAAATGCTTGGATTTTGTTTGGTAAAAAACTCGAGCGACTTTTATAATAGTAGTATAGATATAAATGATAAATTATCAAAACATTTAATATGGATTCTTTAATATAGTATTAAAGAATTTTGATCAAATTTATCAAAATAGTTCTCTCAAAAAATATAAATAGACTATGATATGAGAGATATTCTCAAGAGAATGTTAATATGTTCATTTGGTTGCAGGGACCATAGTCGGTGGTCGAAGAGATTGTAGTCAGCAGACAACGAAGGTCAGAGGGACCGTAGTTGGCACTGTAGTTGGCGAGCAACGATGGTCGGAGAGAATGTAATTGGTGGGCGACAGTAGTTGGAGGGGCCGTAATCCACTGGCGATCAAGGTCAGAGAGATCATATTATGACAACGATGGTCAAATGGATTGTAATTGGACAACGATGGTCAAAGGGATTGTAGTTTGGTGACTGTGATCAAATGGGTCATAGTTGGCTGGTTATAGTGGTCGAAGGGGCCATAATCCACGTGCGATGGAGGTTGAAGAGACCGTAGTCTACGGGCGATGGAGGTCTAAGTCGCGTGATGCTGGTCAGAGGGATCGCAATTAGAACGCGGTGGTGCGAGAGACCGTAGTCGAATAACAGTGGTCAAAGGGATTATAATTAGAAAATGGTGGTCTATGGATCATAGTCAGTAGGCAACAAAGATTGTTGGGATCGTAGCCAATGGGAAACAGAGGTTTGAGGGACTATAGTATGCGAGCGAAAGTATTCGGTGTGCGACGGTGGTCGGAGGCATCGTAGTCGGCGGACAACGATGGTCGGAGAGACCATAATTGACGGTGTTCAGAAGGATCTTAGTCGACCGTGGTCAGAAGGGCCATAGTCGATGGGAAACGGATGTCGGAGGGATAGTAGTTGGTGGGTGACGGTGGTCGGACTGACCAGACGGGCGATAGAGGGATCATAGTCGGTGGTAGATGAAGGTCTGGTGACAGTTGGAGGATCGACGATGGTCCGATAATAATAGGTGGACGGGTGGTGGTCTGATGATCGACAGCCAGACGGTTATTCGACGGTGGTTGTGCTTGGGTAGAATTCTAGGATCCTTGAAGCCTCAGAGCTCTCTCAAATCTTCAGCTAAAAGGTGATTTCATGAAGAGAGCATGTGCTTATTTATAAATTTTTTTAGTGGCATGCTCTATAATTATGGAGAAGTTCAAGAGCAAATTCAGAGTGCTCCATCAGATGACCCATATCAATTCCTTCAATTCTAGAGTGTTCATAAAGAATTTAAGCGCATTAATGATGTCAGTATTAAGTGATTTTAGCTTGTTGGATTCGTCTCGTCAAGTCGCTCAATTTTACTATAAGCATGCTATATTTGGATATCACTTGGTAACCCAATTAAAGATTTGAAGCTTCCAAATATGCTTCGGTTCCTTGATTTGAGCCCATTTGAGCTCAGATTTGACTGATTTTGATATTGTTGGATTCGTCTTAGTTTGACTATACGTTTGCTAAAATTGGTGTTCGAATGATTTTGAATTTAATTTTAGAAGTTGCTAATTAAGATATGACTCGAGATTCATGATAATAATTTTTTATGTATATATATATAAGATTTAATTATTATAAACATTCACACTAATAATTTTTTATGTATATAATATAAGATTTAATTATTATAAACATAATATTGTATTATAAAGTGTATTATAAATATTCAAGGAATTAGTGTGTGCTTTATAAATTACTGAACAATAGCAAGTGTTTCCATCAATGAAGGAAACATAAAATATATTGAGAGCCCTTTCTTATGGCAATTAAGGAAGACCTCCATACATTATAATGAACTAAATCAAATGGAGCATTAGAAGAGAAAATACTTTTATTAAAAGGTTATGCATAGTCCCTTATAAATTTGTAATCTATATACTATAAAATATCATGTGATTGAAAGTGCTCATGAATAAACAAAACATTTCAAATGAGAAGTTGAGATATATGATCCACATGATAATGTCATAAAAAAACATAAACGATGAAGAACTTAAACAAAAAGAAGAAAAAAAAATAGTGGAAGTTACTATATTAGTTACTTTTAGTTAATCTTACACATCTAAATCTCCCTGCTTACGACATGCCCTTATAAGATGCAAATCTTATTTATGATAAGAAGTAGAAGTAAATAAGATTGAATAAATATAATCTTATAATTTACTAAAATAAATCAAATACAATTTAAAATGAGGAAATTAATAAATATTAATAAGTGATGGTTTAGACGTGGCAATAGAATCAACACATATTAAGGGCATAAAAAGGCCATTAGCATTCACCATAGATGTAGGATGTGTAGGCAATAAAAAAAATGATAAGGAGTTTGGGGACATATGATGAGAGGCACTAGAGTCTAAGACCCAAATGCATAGAGATATGTCTAAAGAACTTGTGGCTAATAAACTTGAAGTAGATATAACACATGACAATATGGTAAAGGACTTCTAAAACTAATTAATAAGTGAATCTATCATGGAATTACTAAATGCAACAATTATCATATTATGTTGTAGAGGCTTATAAACATACATTGCAATTAAGATGATTGAAATTTTTGTTGAGCCTCCTCCTTTAATAATTTTGGACATTGAGTTTACAATGTTTTTTTTTTAATTGCCAAAAAACACTATTGCTATAAACTTTGAAATTTTGCTTATTTCTACTGATAAAAGATGGGCGAGTAGGGTCAACCAAAATAGATGAATGATTAGGAGTGGAGAGGACACTTTTTTCTATTTGAAACTGATGATGTATTTCATTAGCTGATATAATTATACTATCAATAAAGGGAAGAAGAATGACATAAGGAATATATTAGGCCAATTAAGGCAGACTCACACACACATCACATACATAAGACTCGAACTCAGGTCCTCTTAGTTGGTAGCCCAAGCTCCCAACCAGTAGACCAAGGTGAGCTGTGTATGACATAAGAAATATTACCACAATATTTCAAAATCATCATGAAGGGTCATAAAAAATTGAACCAATCATTCATACTAACAACAGAAGGAGTAAACCTTGAAGATTTGTGGATTACATATAAGGCAAATGGTCCAAAGATTGGCCATGAAATAATAAAATCTTGAATACTCATATTATTTTATTGAAGTGATCTAACACCAATCTATAATTGATATTATTTTACAAAATTACACTGGGTGCATGTGCATTTTAAATAATCTCTAATCTCTTTAGCTATTTCAATTTTTTTTTTCAATTGTATCCATATTGATGTCTAGACTAAATTATTGATCCAAGTTATGATTATTGAGTTATGAAACCCCCAAAGATCTGATTTTGTTTCAAAATTTTTGCCATTTCAATTCATTGGTTTATGATTAATTTCTTAATATAACCCAACGCCTTCTTCCATTTCAAAGACGTTTTCACGAATATGAATAATATTTTATTTCCAATCTCTTACCAATAAATTATCTCAAGCTATAATGATCAAAATAACAACAATGAATATAAATCAAACTATAAAAAAGGATATAAATGTATAATAACTATTTCAAAAATAATGAATTAGAGGTGCTCTCAAAGAATATCGAGCGAATTGGCAAATCAGAGATCCCTTATATAATCGGTTAGTGAGATCCGTGTTTAGGGATGAAGATGATCTCAAGTAGTCTAGTAAATTCTTGAGATCACAAAAAGAATACGATTTTGAGAAAGCAATGCAATGAAGTCAATCCAGAGATATACACGGCATGAGTATGATGATCATAAGAAATTGAAGTCCCCGTGATAACATCTCTGAGGTTGGGAAGGACTTTTCAAAATCATCATAGATTGAAAATACCTGATGACCTTCAATATGTTATGTTGGAAATATTTTTTTTTTAGATTGGTGATTTATTTATGTATTTTAAAAAGAAAAATTTTAAGCCCACGTACATGATGTTAAATTTTGAGAAAAAATCATAGATTTGTAAATGGAACGTGGTATGACAATCACTTAAGCTTTAAGTAAGAAGAAATAAGCTTTGTCCCCTTTACTATTTTCATTATGGTGATACATATGTGCTGGGTGTGATAAACGATGCGGCACATAATTACATAAAAAAGATATTTGAATGACCCATAGCTCATATTTGACATTTATTCAACACATACACTCCAAATATAAAATAATACCTTATTAATAGGTCACATACTATTATAGAAGCTATTGCAAACAACTTAGATATGAATCATGTCTATAGTTTCTAAAAAATAGCTATTTAGAATATTCTGTTAAATAAATACATTTTAAATGCCCAGTTATCTTTGTTAAAACATTAAGAAAAAGCCATATTACTAAATTTAAAAAGCGATGGTCTACTTCCAAAAATATTTCCCTATGTAGAACATCTTACAAACCGCTGCAGCCTCTCCCACACTTTCGCTAGCAATTTAATCTGCCTCTCAAGTCCAGTCGCGCCTTTCCGGTCACGACCCGATCTCCGCTGTTTGTCTTCAGTTCCATGGAAGCAACTGATGCGCCATCATCTACAAATCCATCGACGCGCACGGCGGCGGATCCGCCTCCGGACGAACCAACATTACAACTCCCATCCGAAGCTCCAACTTCAATAACAACAACGATGCCGTCTTCATCGGCGCCCTCTGTTTCGTTGTCCTCGCCCTCGCCTTCTTCTACCGCTTCTCCTTCGCAGCCCCAATCCCAATCATCTCTGCATCAACGACAGCCAGTCGCCTCCCGGACTCGATCCCAAACCCAGTTGGGGCAATCCGCTTTCACTCAATCTACGTCCTCCTCCGCCTCGTCTTCTGCCCCTTCAGTCCAGAGAAGTGGGCTTGCGATAGGCGTCCCGGCTATCCTTCCCCATCACGCTCGGCCGTCGCCATCATTGGGCTATTCCTACGGCTCGTCGTCGAACTTTAGCCAGCCTTTAATGAGCTCCAGCTCTCCATCACCCTCCTTTAGTCAGCCCTTAGGCGGATTTCCTCGGGGTTCCGTCCCTTTGGCTGAGCAATCTTCAGGCTCCATTGCACCTTCGCCCTCATTCAGCCAGCCCTTCTCTGCGATGCCCCGCAGCTCTTCTGGGATACCGGACCAGCAACCTAGCTCTAATTCTCAGGTTCTTTTTGATACCTTTTATTCACGTTGAGTTGCTAAAATATATTTTGTTAAATCTTTGAGCTTTCACGTGTCAGGTTTGTTTTTTTTTTTCTTTGTTGTATCAGTGAGTATGATAAGAGAAAGTAAATTTTTTAAGGCCATCTGTAGATGGTCATCTCATGCTTTCCAGATCATTAGGTTTTGAGATCCAACCCTTGTTTTTGTAGTGTAAAAGAAAAAGGAAATGTAGTTATAGAGCACTCATGCTACTGGACAAGATATTGATAATTGGTATTTTATTTCGGTATTTTTCTGTAACTTGGTTTAGATTTAGTGTTCAATTTTATTAGGTCGGATGCTTCTTCTTTTTTTGCTTTTTGTGGCAGTATTCTGGAATTTTGGTTGTCTGCCAATATGATATATAGATCAACTTACAAAGGAATTTACCCATCTATTTTAGAGGTGATCGAACCTAACTTCAACACGTTTGTTGAAACTGATAACAATGCTCCCAACACAAGAGCAACTATTACTCATTTACTGGCAATCACAACCATTGCTACAAAACAAACCCACTCAATCACAGTCACTAGTTCCAAACGAACATGTACTATCATAACAAACTCTGTACAGATCTCATTATGGAGGAGTCTAGTGTATTCATGCTACGACAATTAATACAATACATAGAGTATTACTCTATTATTTTTTTTCACTGTTTCTCTATACCCTGCAACTGTGAGCTCATCATGATATTAGAGCATCAGCCTCAAGATAGCTCTTCTTCTCTTCTCTAAACCTTAATTACCCTCTCCTCAATCTACACATCACACATGGACCCCTCAACCTCAACCACCACCAAATCTAGTCTCTGTCCTACCCGGGTCGACATCTCCATACCCTAGCCGCTCAAATTCTTAGTGGGCAAGAAATAAAAAAACTCAACTCACACTTGACAACCATCCAGCCTGATACTCATAGATCCTCAAACTCTTTCGTGCAAGTATTTCAAAGGCTATATTGATGGCTCCACATTGCGCCTAGCTCATCAAACTGTGGCCGACAATGGTACCATTGTTCTCATTGCCTAATATCATCTTTGGACACTTATTGACCAGAACCTGGTAGATGCCTTTTATTCCGCTGTATTGGATTTCCTTTCCCCTTATATTCTCAACCTCGATTCTTGCATTAACATCTAGATAATGATCGATCACTAATTGCAATCTTCAAATATGTGAAAACTCTCTCTCAAAGATTTTAGGGATTCTCAATAGCTCTAAGAACTCTCCAAAACACTCAAAAACTCTTAGAAGCTTACTCAACTTGTTTGGTTTCTTAGAGGTGATGTATTTATTGAGTAGCTCCAAAAGAAACCTTAAAAAGGTTTATTATTAGAATTGGCGGCATGGTCATACATTATGATTAATTATCAGAAGATTATACAATATGATTAGTTCTATTGCGCTGAAACCCTAAAATAATTCTCAGTTTTATCGGACAGTACTATATATATCTTACATTATGATTAGTTCATTTTTCTCGTAGCAAGATATTGGATCCATTTCTACGATTAAAAATGAAACAAAAGTATTCTTTGTTGTTCAGCCTGTACGATATGTATTGTACAATATGAAATTTTGCTGGTTCAGTTTTAATGTCTCATGGATTCTTGGGTATCAAATAAGTAAATATTATAAATAATTATACAACATGTAATATACAATATGATGTGTTCAATTTTGAATTTGTCTATTTAAAGAAATAACAGGTGAATGGCAGATTTAATTTAAATATAATTGATTGTACGACCCGACCTTAGTCATACAATAAAACTAGTTTTAATAATTTTTATTTGTATTTTTTATTAATTAAGACAACTTGATTCTTAGAAATTATCATTATACCATGTGCATCTTTTTGTACGAATCAGTTTAAAATGCAATTATTGCAATAAATTAAGTGTTTTAAATAATTTTTATTTTTAATTTTTTAACCTATTTGACTCGTGTATATGTGCTTGGTTGTTTAGCAAATCATATACCTAGCACAATTACAAGAAGACTCGAATATAAAAATAAATTTACAATTTATATTGCTTTAATTGTCTTCTTTTAGCAACAAAATCATTTCAGTATTTGATCGATCACATTTTTATGATTGTTATCCATTGTGTGTCCAACATCATTTGATTTTTAGTTTTTGGTTTACCTAAAATGTTAGTTTAAATAAAAAGAAACACACACACATTCATTAGCCTAATTATTACAACCAACAATATTTGTGATCATTAAAATCCTAGTTATCTCACCGGGCTCATGGGGTCCAACAGTTGGTTCTTCCCTAGAATCCTAAATTGGTCATTCTCGATGATCTCTTTTCCCTATTTTGCAGTGTGGAAATCAACATTATCTAAGAAGCAACCATGCGCTACAAATCACACCATCCATGGACCCTCACCTTGCGCTTACAATTGTAAAGGGTTGCGGCTGTGGTCACTCTCCCACTTCCTCCACTAGTAGAGGTCACCCAAACTACTTCAATACCAAGTTTTACTGTCAACCCATTGCCTCCTCCTGGTAAGGTAGATACTTCAACCCAGTGGAATGCCAAATTTGTGGCATTCCTAACAACTCGATCATCACCTGTTTGCATTGCATGGATCTCAACTAGCATAATCATAACTCTACCGTACATGCTCTATTCGACAACCCTTCACCTTCTATGCCATGGTGTTTGGATTCAAGAGTTACATCTCATCTTACTGCAGGCCACTCTTAACTGCAGAACTCTAAATCTTATCAACATGATCAATAAGTTCTACTCGACAATGGCTAAGCCTCTCCATCTAAACTATGGTTCACAACATCTATCTCACACTTAACTATAAATTTATTCTAAGTTACTCCATGTTCTACACCGAACAACCTAATCTCTGTCCAAAAATTAATTGCTGACAACTCATCTTCTTATCTTGTTTGATGTCACTTGATACAAAATCATTGACTTCCAGTCCAATCAATCTCTTCTTAGAGTTTCCTGCTCCAAAGGTCTTTACTTGATTCCAACCTTCTCATCATTTCCATCCAATTTGACGTTACTGCTTTGGACCACGTCTACTGCCACCAACACATGGCATCCTCAACTTGGAAACTCTCCATTCTAGTGAAAATTAACCTAAGTTTATGTATCTCCATCAAATTTCCTCAATGTATTCTATGTAAAATTACCAAGAGTCACACTTTTTTTTATGCATCATTAAATCACGCATTTGCTCCTCCATAACTTATAAATTCGGATGTATGGGGACCATCGCCCATTCTTTCTATGCAAAGCTACAAATATATCTCTTTTATTGAAAACTTATTTTGATTTTGTTGGATTTTTACAATGAAACTTAAATCTTACATAATCCATGCAATTCAAACAAATGGTTGAACATCAGCTCCACATCTAAATCAACATTCTCCGATCCAATGAAGGAGATGAATGCACAACCTCCCACCTCCAAATCCTACTCACACAATCTGGCATATTACATTTGTACAATTGTCCATATACCCAAAAACCAAGTGGCTTTTCAAAATGAAACATCAACTTATTATTGGGACTACTCACACAATTATGCTAAACACCAATCTCCCTAACTCCCTATGGGTTGACTCTCTACAAATCCTACTTTATCTAATTAATCAACTCCCCTCTTCTATCATAAAAAATCTCACTTTAGCATATACAAAAGATCGTGAAATTATTCTCACATCCAAACATTTGGATGTCAATGCTTCATGGTTGCAATCTCACTCACTGCACAAATTGCACCAAAATATGTTCATTGCGTCTTTCTAGGCTACTCTTTTATAGTACACATAAATGATACAAATGTCCAATCTCACCATTGACAAATTCATACTCTCTTATCATATTCTATTCCATGAAAACATCTTCCCATACCAAACTACTATCACCCGTGCAACCTTGTTCTCAAGACCCGCTATTAACTACTATAGCTTCTATTATTCAGTTACCTATCTCACAATCCCTACCCTACACCAAAAAAACAATTATTGTCCCTACTTTACCTAGACATCCCATGAACACTCTGCCAAAAGCGGCTCCCTCAATTAAAAAATTGTCTTCTTCCTCCAACAAACCAATGCTTCCATAATAGGCCTTTCTTGCTACTTGATCGTAATGAAAGACAAGAAATGGGGACATGACATGTCTTAAGAATTCAATGCTATCCTCGAATAAGGCTCTTAAATCCTTACTCCATTTTCTAACCAAAATGTCATTGACACCAAATGGACGTTTAGAACCATGTTCAACTCAGATGGTACCATCACTAGCTACAAAGCCACACTTGTTGCCCAACGAGTAATATTACATCGACTACTTTTACTAATGCCCAACATTTAAGTCCTTCTCTTTGTGCCCATCATCATAATTTGCTAACTATCCGATAGATGTCTCCAACTTATTCCTCCATATTAGGCCCACTAAAAAAATTTACATGGCTCAAGCCCTTGAGTTTCAAGATCCTCATTGACCATATCATGTATACCGCTTAAAAAAGCCATTTAGCGCCTCTGGTAAGCCCCCCACCAATGATTTACCACATTATTTGATCACCTACAACCCTTGAACTTTCGATTCATTAAAGACAATTCCTCTCTCCTCACTTATACAACTATGGTCATTCAGGTGTACTTCTTCATCTATGTCGATTATATACTTCTTATTAGTAACACTCTTACAACCATCATAAACCTTCTCCACAATTTGCAAGCCCAGTTTCACATGCGCAACTTGGCCCCCATATCGTATTTTATTGGCATATAGGCCACTAGTTAATCATATGGCCTCTACTTTTACCAGTCTAAATATATGTTAACCATTCTCAATCGAACTGCCTTGCTAAATTGCAAATCACTTCTCAACTCTATACCCGCTAAACCTGTGCTCACTGAAAACCCAACCATGACTTTTCACACATCCGCACTCTACCGCCATCTCGTTAGCTCACTCCAATACTTAACCATCATGTGGTCGATCATATCTCTAGCTGTAAATTGAACCTGCTAACACATGCATAACCCACTGGCACACTATTCCAACTCAAAAGTATTTTATGTCTCAATTATGACATCCCTATATATAATGATAGTTTGTAGCTTAAGTCATATTCAAATTTCAATTGGACCAGAAATCAATTAGAGAGGAAATCTACTACTGGCTATTATGCTTTCCTCATACATGTTCTCATCTTTTGGTCGTCAAGAAGCAATTGACCATAGATTGATCTTCGATTGAAGCATAATACCACACACTAGCTATTGCAGCCATCAACCTCATGTGGCTTTGTTGGTTTCTTTAGGACTTTTACTTGTTGGTATCCTCAACAATACCTCTGTACCATGACAACATCTTAGCTCTTGCTCAATCAACAATCTAATTTTTAGTACTTGCAGAAAATACATGGAAAGTTGATTGCCACTCCATTTGTTATTGCATAAAGTTTCAAGTTTACATTGTTCATCATGTCGCATCACTGTTGAAATTCGTTGATAATTTTACCAAAGCTCTGCCCACAGCTCGCTGAAGCAAACTATGACAAGTTAACACTTATGATCGGATTTCTCAACTTGAGAGGAGTGATAACTATACTCTAACACAAAATCAATCATCACTCACTGGCAATTATAGTCATCGCTAAGAAAAAAAAAAAGCTCAATCATAGCCACTACTTTTAAATTAACCTGTACTATTATAACAAACTCCATCTAACTCTTATTATAAAAGGAGCCTATTGTATTCACCACAAATTTTGATGTTTAGAATGCCCACAATTATAGTCATTGCACATAATTTTGTATTAAGATCTTGTGTATTTTTTTAGTTATTTTTAAACTTATGAATTTAGGAATTTTATGCAAGGTTATAAAAATCAGACCATATATAGAAGGGAAAATTTTAAGACTAAGCATGATTATAAATTGTATTAAAAGCTTAAGCATGTTTAAAAAAAAATTTAAAAATAGGCAAAGTCGCCCATTAAACCGGCGACTTACTAGTCTAGTCAGCATCCAGTCAGCATTAAAAAAAAATTAAATTTTTTTTTTTATAAAAAAAAATTACTATAGTAAGTTGCCCGTTTAACGGGCGACTTACTACAGTATAATATTATTTTTAATATTCCCTAGTTCCGCTCCCTCCCTCTTAGCATTTGGCAGTTCCTGCTTCCTTCTCGATCGCACGTTGGATTTTCATGAAAAGCATACGAAATAGGCTTACCTTCGCTAGAAAGAGAGATGTTTTTTTCTTTCTTTGCGCTTACTACAGTATAATATTATTTTTAATATTCCCTAGTTCCGCTCCCTCCCTCTTAGCATTTGGCAGTTCCTGCTTCCTTCTCGATCGCACGTCAGATTTTCATGAAAAGCATACGAAATAGGCTTACCTTTGCTAGAAAGAGAGATGCTTTTTTTTTTTCTTTAGGGTACTTCTAGCAAGTTGACATTTGCTTGATATTTCTTGTTACAAAACCAATTAAACCAAGAAAAGAAGGTCTTACAGGTGAAATCAATGGCATTTTCTCGAGGGAATGTTTCTCTTCTTCTTCTCTTAACTCTTACCGTCCTAGCGAAGAAAGTGCCATTGATTTCTACAGTAGTCATATTAAATGAGGCACACATAGCTCCATCCAGTCAAATGGATTTGATACACCATATAATATTTTTATTCGTTCATATTTGTGAGAAATTAAAAATTAAAAATTTTATGAAATAGTTTAATATAAAAATAAAATTACTGTAGCAAGTCGCTCGTTAAACGGGCGACTTACTACAGTAATTTTATTTTTATATTAAATTTTCTTTTAATTTGTTTGAATGCTGACTGGATGCTGACTAGACTAGTAAGTCGCCCGTTAGATGGGCGACTTTGCCTATTTTTAAATTTTTTTTTAAACATGCTTAAGCTCTTAATACAATTTATAATTATGCTTAGTCTTAAAATTTTCCCAATTATTTTCTATAGCAGCTTTCAAATAAGTTATTTTCTCCACAATAACTTTATAATTACATGCATAAAAAACTACATCCATCCCAAATCAACATTTATGCTTCATTTGTGATAGTTTTAATTTCTTACTGTTTTCTAAAGCAACGTTCGAAATCTAAGGCCTCGTTTGAGACAGTTTTTTTGTCGCTTTCTAAAACAATTTTTTAGTACAAAAAATTCTTGAATTAAAAAATTTTATATTAGAAATAGTTTTAGGAAGCAGCATGAAAGCTGTCCAAACGAAACCTTAGTCTCATCTTTCATCTTTTTCTTGAATTAGATAGGGATTCCCTTCTTAAAGTTGATGCCCTCATTAAATCACATATTTTCCTAGATTTGGTCTTAAAGAGGAGGATAAATTAGAGAAAAAAAGAAAGAAGCCGCACACAAGGAAACACAAAAACAAGGTTAGCTGATAAGAATAAAAAGCTAGCTAATCCAAGGGAAATAGGAAGTAATTAAAAGATTAATAAAACATAAAACTTAATTAAGATAATAATAACAATCTCCAACTTAAATAAAATTTTAGATAAGTC